TGCCTGGTAATATGGAAAAAAGGACAGTGAAATGGAGATTTCTTCATTTGTGTAGCAGATCAGAGAAACTCAATTAAAAAGTTTGAGCACACTGGCTTAAGGCCAAAGGTGGGAATTATCACAAGTATTACTATAGGCTTTATTGAGACGGTCTCTGCTTATTTAACCGCTTTACAAAAGGGCCAATCACAACTAACAGATATACAAAAAAACTGAGAAAACCACTCACATCAGTCTCATTCATGAATACTACAAATCAGACCATTTAATGACATCATCCTGACCTTTGTGAACAAACAGCTCTGTACGTCAGGACAAACGCAACAAAGTCTCTGAACAGTTTAAATGTCTGGCTAAAGAAGAAAACCTGTACAGGCTGTACTATCGCATTTAAGGCAGACAGCGAGAAGTAGCAGAAAGTGAAGTGGAAACAGAAACAACTAAAGAGGAGGGAATAAACATTCTCCCAGAGTGAAGAGTGCGCTCCATATTTACGTTTTTCCTAAAATGATTTTTCCTAGAACTTCACTCTGTCATTTGACAGAATATACAGAAAGTCCAATCGACCACAGCGTCTGGTTAGCAGAGTCTGTACTGAAAAAGACAGTCAAGAGATGTTCTCTTGCAGTAACTGATCCTGATCATGTTTATTTTCATTTCGGCCTTGAGACATTACTCCATGTTTGTGTGCTAATCACAGCGCTGACCTGAAATGCTCCAGGACCACAGAATATTTTGTAGTACATTACGGCACAGCTGTAGCGCAGACGCTGTTGCTCAGGTTCCACAGTAAGCAAGAGATTTCCCTACAGAAGACTTCAACTTCTTTGCTTCGGGCTCGTGCTCTCAGTCGAATTATGTCAGAGAGGGGGATTGACATGGATTCAGCAGCTTAAAAATGTAGCCTATGTAGTTATGGATCACTACAACTCAGACACTACAGTAATTTATCTTTATTATTGAACTAAGGCCAAATCAACTAAAGATTTTGAGCTGGAAAATATATCAGGCTGCATGAAAATCCCTTAAAATGTTCATGGTGTGCAATAGATTGTCTTACATCATTAAAATTCACATAATTCACAACCACACACAGCGTTGTTACCGCTTCCATAACTGGATTTTTGGTTGTTCCCATAACAACAATCCACAATGGGGGGAGAACCGTGACAGGAACGAATTAGTGAGGGAGGTGCGATCCAACATTTTTTTTCTTTCTACTCCCTTTCTCTCCCACCATGTGCTTCTCTTTCTTTTACTTTTTTTTCCCCTGCCTTTTAGTTTTTCCAAAGTCTGTATGTGCTGACATGCACTTCATTATCTTAACTATTTTGTAGCTTACGTCCTTTTTTTTAAACATTCTTTCAGACAAGCAAGGTCATTGCAACTGTCAAGGAAAGTACTAGGCCTTCTCAGCATTCCAACTAAACGGCTATTTCATTTATCACGGATTACATAACCCTCTCTATCTCACAAATGGAGAGATACTGTTGGACCCAAGCAGCAGAAACCACAAGTCAGAGAGCCGTGTCCGTCGCGACTCGCGAGAGTGATTTCCCACAGCAAGTAAACAACAACAGAGGTCTGACCACATCCAAACCCTGGCACCCAAACACATCCTCCTATCAAAATATTGACTTCCTCTCCCAGTTGTTTCCAATGGACACTGTGAGAGAGGAGGTGGTTTCCACTAAAGGAGGACTCCATCATGTTTAGTCTTCTTAAGCAAGCATGTGTCAACTATGGAGAAAGAGAACAGGTAGGCTCCATGTGAGAAAACCTCAAAGACGGCACATTACAGTCACAGTTGTTGTGAAAGTGGTCACATTTAGCAAATTAATGGGAAAGTTTCCACAAATGTGAAAACAGTGCAGTCATTTACTCACCCTCATGTTGTTCTAACCCCTGTAGTTTCTTTATTCTGTGAAAAATTAGATTCAGTTTATGTTTGGCCATGTCAAAGCTGCTTTTTTCCATACAAGGGGAAGGTGATTTATATTTCCATGTTACGAAAAAAAAAAAAATTTCTACGACTTGTATCATGTATTCTATGTAATATATTAAGTGTTCTGAAGCCATAAGTCCGTTTTTTGTTGGAAACAAACTAAAATTTAAGTAGAGTTTTTCACTCTAATGTAGGTTTTAAATCTCAATATCGGTCAGGTTTTTTTAAAATGCCATCTTAAGGTGGCATTGTTTTCGCTAAACAAACTGAATTTGATTGGACAGCTATGGTGGAGAGTTAGGGTTAAATTTATCAGTGACACAACGACTTAAATTTTGGGCCTTTTTTTTTGCATACAAAGCTACTGTGGGTCTATAGAAAATTTGAAATATAATGTTGTATGGATTACTTTTATGATTCTTCAGTGGTGCTATTTAGGACTTTTTGGAACTTGGCAGTATAAAGGCCCATTCACACCAAGAATGATAACTATAAAGTTAACTCTAATGATAACTAGTGTCTGCACCAATGCACAACAACATTCTGTTTATTAAAAACATGCACTGAGCTTATATAATCTGCGGCTTTCATACTTGAGCTGTTTAAAGTTGAGTGGATTCTGACTGGCTGTCAATGTTTGTATGGTTCAATATGTTTATTCGTATATGGTATCATTATAGTTGTGGATATGGTATCATATATAATCTGCATAGGATTAGAACGACTAATAAAATTTAACAGTTACAGTTATTATTCTTAGTGTGAATTATTGTTCTTGATGTGAATGGGCCCTTAATCCCTATGTAAAAAATAAAAGCAGCTTGCATATTGGAAAATATATTACTGAGTCGAATAAAAAGCAACAGAGTAAAATAGAGATAAACAAAACTTTCCTTTGTCAAAAAAGGCTGTGGATCATGATAGATGAGCATTTCTCCCTTTTCTGTTAATTTTGATTTAAAAAAAATAAACTACTTAATTCACTTAGTACGATATACACAGTTTCTGAAATCAAGGTTGACTCTGAAAGTTTCCATTCAGTGTCCAGTTTGTTCCAACCCTGATTTTTAATACTGTATGCTGGACCTCAATATCCATGCACTGCTGATGCTGTGTTTAATCTTAAAAAGGAATGTGACCTTGTCTTTTGTCCATGGCTTGCACAGAGGACAAGTCTACTTAGCTCAATTTGGCCTTCCCTGTCATTTATGGAGCAGATGCACAGCAACAAAACTGGCAGGAAATCAGAATGACTGATAATGACCCCGACAGGTCAAATTACCATTTACTACAGTGATTAAATGGGTATAGAAGTAGAAAACGTACAAGATCCCGATGCCAAAATAATCTCACTAGGTACACAAAGCAATGTTCAAGGACACTTAAATAATTTATACCTTTAAAATACTGACAGTGTCACATCCCTTTAATATTTCAGTACGATGAAGCATGAGGATCAGTCCTGTTCAACAAAGACACCATCTATATACCCAACTCTCAAAAACAACACCAATCTAAGCCTCGACAAAACAGGGACTTCCAGTTATTTCTTAACATCAGCCGTTATTTCCCAACAGATTCCTGCTTGAACTGAGCGATAAAGCGAGTATTTGCTGGTATCTGGGTTTGTCTGTGCTGGAGGAGCACTGAGATTGGCTTCTCAGGAAAGAGCCATGGCTGTTACCCAGCAGCTCAGTCTGACTGAGATTACAACAGACCTGTCAGCACAGAAAAGAGAAGTGCTTTCTGTTGGCGAGATAACTCCAACATCGATCTGTACAAAACTCTTCTGTCTCACCTATCTCTGCCGCTCATTACTGTTCACATCTGGGTGGGAAGCACTTCCTGTTTTTGTCTCCCAAATAAGCACAGGCCATCCACCTCTCTGTTCTGTCTGATAGACACTACACACAAACACACTAGGCACGGGTCAGATGGGTCAAATGACCCCACACAAAGACTCACCCCCCTTCTTTACTGTTGCTAAGTCCGACAAGCCATGGTGCTCTAATGCCACACATCATGTTCTCACGCAGTGAAAAAATACATTGCGGAGCAAAGACGACACTGACAATGCACCGACAGACAAGACGTTAATCTACTCTCCTCTCTGGTTTGTATGTCAGACAAAACAGCAAATTCTGAGTTATGATTGGTCAGATCGCCTGTCAATCAAACTCCCTGTTAAGGGTCAATTAATCAATTACTGAGGTCTATAAGTAACTTTTCCCCCCTAACTAAATAAAAGCAAATATTCAGAAAATAAATAAATACACTTAAAAATAGACCAAAAACTGCATTACAATTCCAAACTACACATTTTTAAAAAGGCTATATGTTTCTATAGTTGTATGTCTTTATCTGTTGCATTGCATCTTACATGGGTTTTCTGCATCTCACGCCATGTGCATTAATTTTAAATTGACATGTTGTTATAAAATGCAGAGTTAAAAAGTAACTAAAATAACAAAATAAAAAAGCAAGACCCCTGAATTGTTACATTCTGTTTTTCAACAACATGCATCCTGTGTAAACACACCCTAAGAAATGTGTCTGATCGGTGTTTGGTGGATATGACCCTAAGTCTAATTATATAGGGCTTTTTATAAAAGACCAACTAGTTGACTAGTTGTTCAGACAACCTACTAACTAGTCGATTATGAAATTCTATGTATGACACTTTCAGCTTTATAAATAGCACTGCATTAGAGCGCAAAAAGGAAACCCCTAGTCTTTCTTGAGGTGTCAGAGGGGTTAATTCCTTATAAAAAGAGTGTGGCGGTAATTCTCAGAAGTGCTGAGGTTTTAGATGTGTGAAGGACAGCACAGGAAACGCTGGGTATTTTTGAAGAACTAGGCTCCAGCAAGTCCCCGTTCATCTGTTCTACCTACTACTTTCACTCTTTGTTTCTTGACTTTCTGCTGAGGGACCTGAGGTTTCTTGTAATTGAATGCCGAACAGAGGATCACATTCTATGATGAGATATCAATGTTTTCTCCAAGGGGACAGAAATAGTGTAGGTTCATGACAGCACCACTGTGTAGGGTGATTTACCTCAGACTGAAACTTAGGACAAAGAACAAGCTCCATTTTGAAGATAACTTTTAAAGGTGAAGGGACTGCTCACATCCTCAATATTTTTCTTTCATCCTACAAAGAAACAACAAAAAAAGGATATTACTGTCATAAGCAGATTTCACTCAGTTGTTCTCACAGGGTTCTTGTACATGAACTAAAAACCTATCAAAAATGGTAAATATTTTAAAAGTGAATTCATAAAAATGAATATTTAATCCTCTATTTTTCTACTTTTTTTATGAAGAACTTCAAGCTGGAAAGAAGACATGAACTCAATGATCTCACAGAGCCAGCGGATGTTGCATAGTGATCTCACACAGGAAATACAACCTGTCAACTACTACTAGCATAGTTTCTAACCAGCCATTTAAAGCCCCACAACAGTTTCATTTCATTTTCTTGTTTGTCATAATTTTAATACCAAAACCCTCCTGGTCACCAGCCCCTAATGCCAAGCAACCTGCCAAAGGTTTCTCAAGAATCAAGCATTATTAGTATGATTTAAAAAGGAAGAAAATAATAATTAAAAAGCTACACAATATGTTGTGCTGTTTTGCCACAATCATCTTAGTTGGTTTTTACTAAGGTACACTTTTCTAAATCTGCTTTGTGATCAGGTTTGCAGTATCTGAGTCTACTTTCAATCCAAAACAAGGCTATGGATACCTTTAATCCCCTGAACTAGAGGTCAAGTTAAAGGTTAAATTAACCTTGATAACAGAGATTATAATCAGCCTTTCATAGATGATAACCTCAATTCATTAAACAAGTATATGATAAACAAAGAAAAGCCACTACCGTTTATTAATTTATTGTAGTTTAGAAAGATAAGCAGTTTCTGAAAAATATGAACATGTATGCTAGCTAAAGAAAAAAAAAACAGATGATTCTGGAAAACGATTAAGAAATAAAGAGATTAGAAAACAAATTATTTCACTGTGCTTCTACAAAGTGTCCAGTCACCAAATAAAACCATGATTAAAACTAGGGCTGCACGATAAATATCGCACGATATTTAATGCGCATCTCGTCAGTAAAGCCGGTTCTGTAATCAGCGGTAAATCTCCACACGTGCGTGCTTTCACGTGGAGCAGCATTTACTACACAGAGCCGTTGTTCACAGACAAGCTGCGCAAAACCACGATCATATTTTGTGCATGTTTTGCGCAGCTTGTCTGTGAACAACGGCTCTGTGTAGTAAATGCTGCTCCACGTGACAGCATGCACGTGTAGAGATTTTCCGCTGATTACAGAACCGGCTTTACTGACGAGATGCGCATTAAATATCATGCGATATTTATCGTGCAGCCCTAATTAAAACCGCTGTTTATATGTATGTGTATACCCACAAAGATCATAACAGATCACATTTGGGAAGATTGGAACAAGTCTATACTCAATTTGTGACTAGAAATCATAGTATATAGAAATAATAGTATATTCTGAGAAGTGCACGGCTTAAATCTGCGCAATCTAAAAGTCAAGAACAGGAAGGTACAAGAACAAGTCACCCATTAATGTATATATTAATCCAACAAACCTTGTGATCTTTTTAAGAAACTTCCACCACAATATCAATTTCAGGCTTGCGTGATTTGTGCAACGAAATCATCAAATGAAATATGAAATCTCTGCAGGCTGCTTCACAGCAAGAGCAGAAGAGGATGCGTCAGGGTAAAGAAACAGTGGATGCTACCTCAGGTTTACAGAGTTGTTGTGTAACTATATGTGTGTACGTGCAATTCACTCAAATTAATTCACAAATAAACATACATGCAAAACACAGAGGTAGCAGACTAGTGGGGCAGGCAAAAATAAACACTAAATCCTGTGAGAACCAGAAATCCAAGCCAGACCATAATACTAGCAACCTTCTGGAAACCAGATGCACACAGCCAAACTACGCCTGGCACAGCCAACAGGCCTGAATAATGCCAAAGAGGTCTGCCTCATGCCAGCACCAAAGCAGCTCTCACTTAGAGTAAGAACTGAATATGGGGCAGGCAAGGGTGTCAGCAGAGCAGGAAAGATCACAGGCACGTAAAAGAAACCCACTGCAGACTCACCTCAAGAGTGTGAAGAGAGAGAGGAACAGATGAGTCAGTATAAAAGAGGTGGTATTCAATGCTCTGCCGCTCACTGGGCTTTTTCGTGTGGGAGCAGACGAGAAATGGCCTCTAATAAAAGCAGAAATCAGAGTGGATTCCCCACCACTGAAGGTAAACAATGCACATAAAATAATTACACATATCCTTAAGAAAATGACTGGTGATTGCCCATGTAAAATTCACCATCATATAGAGCTTACTTGTTGGTGGGGAGACATAAAATATAAAATTTATTGAAAGAACGACAAAGAAAGAAAGTCCAATAACTAGTGGCAAATAACTAATATAGCACCTACTTACTGGCCAAAGACAAAAATGGAATGAGATGTTTTGCCCTTTTTATCACAGCCAAAAAATAAAAATAAAACAATAATAATAATAATAATAATAATAATGTTGCTGTTAAAATGAACGCGCACACAAAATATTTAACGCAATTAATGCAGGGTCGGAGCTAGGGTTGGCCACCCCACTCACAACTGCTGCTTCTGTCTCTTTTTTCTTGACAAGAATTGCATTTATTTAGACGCAGAGCTATTTTATGACCACACCATACATGAGACATGATACATTTTCAGCCACTCACTCCAACTTCACGTCAGCACCAGGCGTGAGTCAAACAAACGTGGAAAAGGTACAGGTGATGAGGGAGCTTCAGTAGAATAACAGTGAACTGCGGTCAGATGAGATGTTGTCAGGCCATGTCAGTAAAAAGTTTCCTGTCCTGTCAGTCATTATACTGTGCTCGTAGCACATGCTCTTCAATTGCACGCACAAATGTGGTGGCGCGCTGTAGCCTATATCATATCATATTCAAGCAAGTCAGAAAAGGTCAAGAGTTGTGAGAAAATACGATGCGTGTCAGATCCACATCATGTTCAACAGCTGCAGCTCTTAAAAGTAATAGCAGCAAAAATAACGTAATAATGCAGTTCCTGCGATGTCTGTTAAAGAAAAAAAAAGAGGAAATCAATAACTTTTGTAGCTTTAAGGAGTCATCTATATTTAATTTCAAATTTAGTGTTTGATAACTTTATTCAATTTCTGTATATTTCCTACTTGCTGAAGGGCACAGGTAGCTAAATATGACATTTATTATAATGGGTTTTATGTGGAGATTGTTTTAAGTTCACTTAAATTAAAAGTTTTTATTTTTTAAAGTCTAATAAATGTTCAAATTGATAGCTCTTAATTATACTGTAATGTTGAATGGCTACAGTCAATGGTTAAATATTAGAAAAAAAAAACATTTCATAGAGACATCAGTAGTATTGGTATCAGTGATACTTGCCTTCAGTCATAAAAAAGATGCCATTAATAAACAAATACTACAAATATAATGTCTTTATGTTGTTTCTACATTATTTTGAAGATTGATTGTGAAATTATTGCAATATAAAAGTATATCTAAAAACTTTAATGTTAGGTGGGATTAATCGCGATTAATTTCAGAAAAAAATGTGATTATTTATTTATTTTTAATCGATTGACAGCACTAAATAATAATAAAATAACTGATATGCTAGAGCCTTTTTACTGGGGCTCATGAAATACTGCTGTGCCCCAGTAAAATGTTACTTATAAATCTTTGTGTCAATGGGATTGACACCAACCTGAGAATCATTTTCTCTAATAATATTTAAGCAGCCATGTTATGCATTTTCTATCAGCTGTTTAGAATCTGAAGTAGCAATGCCAGATTTGTGAATGGATCACTCTTTTGCTCTTCCGGTTTCAAGTCAAGTCAAGTCAATTCAAATCCGTTAAAGGATTGTTAGGCTGCATTAATTAGGTCAACCGGAACCGGGAACACTTCCCATAACATCCGATGTACTTGTTACATCGTAAGAAGAATTGGCATCTACACTACTATTAGTCTCTTTCATTCTTATTCCGAGGTCACCGTAGCCACCCAGATCCAGTCCATATCCAGTCCAGATGGTGGATCAGCACCTAGAGACGACCTCTACAGCCCTGAATGTCAGGAAATCAATAACTTTTGTAGCTTTAAGGAGTCATCTATATTTAATTTCAAATTTAGTGTTTGATAACTTTATTCAATTTCTGTATATTTCCTACTTGCTGAAGGGCACAGGTAGCTAAATATGACATTTATTATAATGGGTTTTATGTGGAGATTGTTTTAAGTTCACTTAAATTAAAAGTTTTTATTTTTTAAAGTCTAATAAATGTTCAAATTGATAGCTCTTAATTATACTGTAATGTTGAATGGCTACAGTCAATGGTTAAAAATTAGAAAAAAAAAAAATTGATAGCTCTTAATTATACTGTAATGTTGAATGGCTACAGTCAATGGTTAAATATTAGAAAAAAAAAACATTTCATAGAGACATCAGTAGTATTGGTATCAGTGATACTTGCCTTCAGTCATAAAAAAGATGCCATTAATAAACAAATACTACAAATATAATGTCTTTATGTTGTTTCTACATTATTTTGAAGATTGATTGTGAAATTATTGCAATATAAAAGTATATCTAAAAACTTTAATGTTAGGTGGGATTAATCGCGATTAATTTCAGAAAAAAATGTGATTATTTATTTATTTTTAATCGATTGACAGCACTAAATAATAATAAAATAACTGATATGCTAGAGCCTTTTTACTGGGGCTCATGAAATACTGCTGTGCCCCAGTAAAATGTTACTTATAAATCTTTGTGTCAATGGGATTGACACCAACCTGAGAATCATTTTCTCTAATAATATTTAAGCAGCCATGTTATGCATTTTCTATCAGCTGTTTAGAATCTGAAGTAGCAATGCCAGATTTGTGAATGGATCACTCTTTTGCTCTTCCGGTTTCAAGTCAAGTCAAGTCAATTCAAATCCGTTAAAGGATTGTTAGGCTGCATTAATTAGGTCAACCGGAACCGGGAACACTTCCCATAACATCCGATGTACTTGTTACATCGTAAGAAGAATTGGCATCTACACTACTAT